CAGCTTCAACAAGGATCTTTTTTGAGAAAACTGGATACCACATACCACGTCTCAATACATGGTCCAGCTTTTGTGTCATTAGTTCCCGCTATGGAGCTGCAAATGTTACCCATAGTACCCATACCATTCCAGAGCTCCCTCATGTCCCTGGCCAGTTTTTTTTTTTTTTTTGTGGCCAGTCTTTTTACTGAAGTACTGAGCTTTCACAAGGGCTATTCTTGTAAAAAAAAAAAAAAAAAAGTCACAAAAAAGAGTTATAACTGCACTATGGGGCAAGATAAAGTTTGCAAGTGCACAGCCAGAAAGCTGGGTTGTATACATTGCCCGAACTGCAATTCGAAACTGTATCTTGGCCCATAGTGCAATTATAACTCGTTTTTGTGACTCCCATGTAGTTTCCCCTGTATGGAAGCCTGGACCCTTTTTCCAGCGGGTGCAGCTCCCCAGGAATAGAATGGAGAAATGGGCTATCCTGTGTCTTCTATCCCCAGCCTGAGGAGATCGTGCCACCCTGAGGGCAGAAGGCAGGGCCTCAATCTGTCTATGTTCTAAAATTATTAAAAAAGAAAAGGAAAATAAAAACTCGAGAGGGTTAAGAGGTCAAAGAGGCTTGGATTGAATGCCTGAAACTGGACGTGTTTGTGAAGAGGTGCCCAAGGTTGAGATCGATCTGCTGACGCCTGAATCTGGACATGTTTGTGAGAAGGTGCCCAAAGTTGTGATCAATCGGCTTTTCTGCATCTTCTGCACAAAACACTTCCAGATTCAGGCACCTCATGCCATCCTCTGTGCTAGCAGGATCTCTCCCTCTGAGCTGTTGAGGTCGCACAAATCTGGACGTGTCACCTCCGGAAAACGGGTTCTAAGAAATCGCTGTTACATTTTTGAATACAAGGTACCATCGAATACAAGGTACGTACCTTGTATTCGAATACAAGATACGTACCTTGTATTTGAGGTGCGCCTTGTAACTGTTACTTACCTCTCTCTCTCTCTCTCTCTCTCTCTCTCTCTCTCTCTCTCTCTGGCGAGCCCTGTCCACGCACGCACCTGCTTCCGCACACCTGGGCTATGCTCTCTCTCTCTCTCTCTCTCTCTCTCTCTCTCTCTCTCTCTCTCTCACACACACACACACACACACACACACGTAAAGTTCGGATGCATGCCAGATCGTGAGTACGCAGCGCTGTCAATGTGTTCTTTAAAATAAAAAATAAATAAATAAACCTTCACGCTGCAGCCCCGTTTTCTATTCGTGATATTATTACTAATATTTAGTATATACTTTTGTTTTTTTTCCCTTCTTGATTTGGCCATTCTGCTACTAGACCCCCGTGTCCCAAGGCCTGCACCTAAGCTGGGTAATGGTCCCAGTGTTATTTGTTTTGTTCCGGGTTGTTTGTCGAGGTTTTGCCGGCCTCTTTCCTTTTGTGTGGTAATAAAAATGAGCCGAGTCTCTTTGTAATTAAAAAAAAAAAAAAAAAAAAAAGAAAGAAAGAAAGAAANAAAAAAAAAAAAAAAAAAAAGAAAGAAAGAAAGAAAGAAAGAAAGAAAAGAAAAGAAAAGAAAAGAAAAGAAAAGAAAAGAAAGAAAAAAAGAACATTGCATCCTAAAATTGGTTCTACAAGGTAGGTACCTTGTATTCGAATACAAGTTATTCGAATACAAGGTACCCTGTACCTTGTATTCGTATACAAGGTATGTACCTTGTTTTCGGGTTAAGACGGTAGTGCCTTTGGTGCTTAGGGTAAACGCTCATGTCCGGGCCCGACGCAGCTGCCAATGATAAGTCTAATCGGCAGCTGTCGTTTCATTTCACCCTCCTGAAAGGTCGGAGGCCTGCTATTTTCTGAAAAACGACAAACGTACTGGTGGTTTAAAGAATCTACCAATTCAATTGCCTGTCAAATCTGGACAGGATGGCCTTTCAGGCCTTTTTATTATCGGTATAGTATTGCGGGGGACCCCGTAGCAGCCAGCCCAAGTTGAAGCCTCCAACGAGGGAACATGCGCTTACCTGCAGGTGGGCGATACCAGCCATGGGTCGGCCAGTAGCATCAAGAGCGAGCTTCTTCGATGGGCCAGTCGCTTTGCCTCCCCTCCGGTCCCCCTCCCACTACGAACATCCGCAGTCTCTGCTCAATGGCCCTCGGGGGGAACCAACGACCTATCTCTAGGTGGCGGGCACCAAGCTTGCCCAGGAAGGTACATGAGGCCAATGGGGATTGAACCCAAGACCCCTCCTGAATGCCACTTTCGTGCCTTACCCACTGCGCGAGGGTGCTGGATGACGTGTTGCTGTTCAGGTCCAAGGTGTCCAAGGTTTAATTGCAAAATATAACAACAAAAAACAGATCCAGGTTTTTCAATCGAAATTCCCCGACGAAATCCTGCCGTGGAAAAAAAAAGCGCAGCAAAAGATAGAAAAAAAGAAAGGGGGTAAAAAAGCAGTAGGCAGCAAGAAACCCAAATGAAAACAACAGGCAACCAACAAAAGGAGAGAGATTTCCTCCAGAAAAAGGGAGGGGGAGGGGGAGGAGGGGGAGGGAACTGGTGGGCATTACTACCTGAAGCTATCTGGCGCCTGGCACCAGACGAAGAGGTTCTCCCCCTTCAGCAACCTGTTCAGTCAATCCTCTGGAAACAGAGTAATCAATGCTGGCAAGAGTTCCTTAGTGACTTTCCAGAGACTAATTCAGAATGATTTTATTCTGGTCATCTGATTGTATCTGGATTCGAACTTGGGTCTGTACTTCAACAATTCATGGGTGTACTAACTGAGCGGCCCATTGGTAAAGAAAACAAGGGACGCTGGACCACGTTCCAACAGGTGACGCTCCCACCAATAGATGGAGCCTCTTGTTTTTTAAATAAAATAATAATAATAAAAGAAAAAGAAGAGAGAGATTTCCTCCAAAAAGAGAGATTTTCCTCCGGAAGGAATAAAGATTGCCTCGAAAAAAACAAAAAGAAAACGAAGAGGCAAAAAAGAAATGAGGAGGAAGAAGAAGAACAACATGATCAGAAAGATTTCCACCTGTCCACGCCACTCCCAATGTCCATATGTCAGTCCATCAGTTCACCTGTCCACGTCAGCTCGTCTGCCCATCTGTCCACGTCAGTCCATCAGCCCATCCACGTGTCCATCAGCCCATCCACGTGTCCATCTGTCCATCTGTCAATCCGTTCATCTGTCCGCGTCAGCCCATCCACCTGTCCATCTGGCCATGTCACCCCATCCGTACATCGTCAGCCCATCTGTCCGGCTGCCCATCCGTGAATCTGTCCACCTATCCACGTCATCCCATCTGTCCTCGCCCATCTATCCATCTGTCCATCTGTCCGCGTCCGTCCATCCGTCCATCGGTCCACATCAGCTCATCTGTCTATCTGTCCGAGCCATTCCATCTGTCCATCTGTCCACGTCAGCCCATCAGTCCATCAGTCAATCAGTCCACGTCATCCCATCAGTCCCTTAGTCAATCTGTCCACGTCATCCCATCAGTCCCTCAGTCAATCTGTTCATCTGTCCACGTCAGCTCGTCCATCCACCTCCCCACATCTGCCCATCCGTCCATCTGTCCACGTCAGCTCATCTATCCATCTGCCCACGTCGGCTCATCTGTCCATCTGCCCACGTCAGCTCATTAGTCCATCTGTCCATTTGTCCACGTCGGCACGGCCGTCTATCTGTCCGTCTATCAACGTCAGCCATATCTAGTCCATTTGTCCACGTCAGCCATCTGTCCATCTGCCCACGTCAGCTCAACCGTCCATCTGTCCATCTGCCCATCTGTCCCATCTGTCCATCTGTCCACGTCAGCCCATCTGCTCTTATCTTCACCTGTCCACGTCAGCCCATCTGCGCACGTGGGTCGACTTGATCCTCCGTTATCGACTGGCCTCCTAATATTTACCAGCATGCACAGACAAGGGTGTACAGTAATTCACACCTCCACAGTAGTCAATGCATGAAGCCACATTTGCGACCAGATTCCCTGTCAAAGAGTCCGTCTGTGTGTGCCTGGCATTTCGCGAAAAAAAAAAAAAGAGTTGACCAAAAAAAAAAGAGCGCAGGTGGATGCAATAGCTACGTAACTTGCACATGACAATTCCACTACAGTCACACTTGTGGGGCCTCACACCACCACCTCTCACCAAATATGCAAAATGAGAATGAATCTTCCACTAGGACATGGACAGATACACATCCATAATTTTTGTCATTTTTGCATGTGGTCTGTGGTGGAGCGAGGGCCGTAAGCTCAGGAACACACACACAAAAAAAACAAGATTCCAACCTCCCCGCTGTGTTGCTTGTAGAGCGGGAAGATCGACCGAAGACGACAACACACGCCGTCGATAGACTGGAGACAAAAACGGTAACCTTCAATTCAAGCAAGGAGTACAGAAATACTGCACATGTCACGCCCTACCCATTCCAACCTCTCTCTCTCTCTCTCTCTCTCTCTCTCTCTCTCTCTCTCTCTCTCTCTCTCTCTCTCTCTCTCTCTCTCTCTC